GTGGAGAAATTAAGCCTTTATGCATTGCTGGTGTGAAGGTAAAATGATACAGCTGCTTTTAGAAACAGTCTGGTAGTTTCTCAAAATGTTAAAAATAGGATTGTGTTAAGACCTGGCAGTGCTACTCTTAGATACCCAGGAGAATTGAAAACATGTTCACATAATTTGTAAATGATTGTTCACAGTGGAATTACTTAAAATAGATCAAAGCAGAAACAAATCAAATGCCTATCAATTGATAAAAGGAAAGATAAAATGCAGCATCTTCCTATAATGTAATAACATTTGGCAGTAAAAAGAAGGAATTAATGTTACATGCTGCACATGGATGAACTTGAAAATTTGCTAAATCAGAGAAGCCAGTTGTAAAGATCATATAATCTGTGCTTTCATTCATGTACATTGTCCAACATAAGCTAATAGACACAGAAAATAGATTAGCCACTGCTGAGGATTAGGAATAAATGGAGAATAACTGCTAACAGGTAGGTGTAAGGTTCTTTTTGGGGTGGTGGGAATGCCCTTGAAATTGATTGTGATCTAGGTTGTACAAGTATGAATGTATTTCATAATGTTCATCGTAGCCATCTTCTAAAAATTTTCTCTTGTTCATTTCTGGATTGAAAAATAATTATTCAGTCAAATTCGGTGATACCTCAATTATCTCCATGATTCTGGTCACAAACCGAACTGGATGAAAACTGAATCCCCATAAGGTCAACATTGAACCTAACCATTAATTTGATTCAGTTCTTGTTCACCTTGGTCTTTGAGCAAAATGATGGAAAGAATCAAGTTCGTGAACTGAGGTACCACTGTGATATACCTAAAATCCTCAAAGTGCACAATTTAGAACTAAGGTATTAATTTAAAAGTCAAGAAACACTCAAAAACTTGCAAAATTATATATAGCATATCACGACATGGGACCTCTTCAGTTTGCATGGTAAGAGTGAGTGTTTTTGTTCATTTGTGTACCTTTTGATGAGGTTATGTGCACAGACAGATAACCCAGTGCAGGCTGGACATGGTGGTACATGACTGTAATCCTAATACCTGTGTGCTGAGGCAGGAGGATCACAATTTCAAGGACAGTCTGGGCTACATAGCAAGACCTTGTTTCAAGTACAAAATAAAAACCTAGTGCAGTGCTACTTTTCCTAATCAGGAATGTATTTTCCAAACTTTTGTATTTGGTACAGGAATGTAGGAGAAGTATTTCTTTTTTTTTAAAGAGTAGGAAGAATTTATTGAGAGGAAGATGGCTTCTGTCTGAAGGGACCAGAAAGTGGGTTGCTCAGGGAGAAGCATTTCTTGTTGTCTCTTCTGTGCTGAATGTGACATGGTATGTGTGATATGGTATCTACTGGGGATTATTTTACAAAAATGAATTGAAAATGTTGTCCATAAAAGTGTATTGACTTTAAAATTTATTATGTTTTACTATTAAGAGTGGAAGCATTTCTTAACCTAGAATTTTGGGTTCTCTTCCATCAGTTCATACTACATGTTTTGTCAGCATTTACTAAGGAGAGGGTCTAAAGTTTTCTGAGGTTATCAAAAGAAAATATCTCATGTAACAAAGTTATTAAGGTGGTGTATCTGAGGAATAGCCCAGTGGTAGAGTGTTTGCCTAACATGTGACAGGCCGTGGATTCCGTGCCCAGCACTACCAAGAAGTGAAAAGAATTTTTAATGGTATTATTTGCCATTGTCTGGCTGCCAATCTGTTGATTTTTAATAGTTTTTGCCCAGTTTTAATGATCATTTGGTCTTACACAGTAAGGGTGCTCAGTGAATACCTGCTAACTGACTAGTAGTTTTCTGCTTCCAGATGGATCATCTATCAGTTGTTCTCATAGTTTTCTGTTTACCTTTCTTTAGAGCTGCCCTTTCTCAACTCCTTTGCATCACTGCTTCAAATTCATTAAGGCAGCTAACGTGCAATGTATCTCATTTCAGTGATAGGAATGAGAATCTTTCTATTGAACTAAATGTGCTACACATTTCATTTCATATTAGCTATTGCAGGTTGTTTTAGTTTTGAGTAAGATAGTCGAGTTTGCTTTAATTTGAGATTTGGTTTTCTTGAAAAATTGCTTTGAAATTTAAAAAGTACTTTGCAATAATATGCCTTGAAGCACGTTCACCTTGGCTTTCATTATCACCCCTTAGGATGCCGATGAGTTTATTTTACCGACTGGAGCTAATAAAACCCGGGGCAGGTTTGAACTGGCCTTCTTTACCATTGGAGGATGTTGCATGACTGGTGAGTAAAACAGTTTTTTTAAATGTCCTTAGTCCAAATAGTTAATGGTACCTAAAATCAAAAGCAATAAGAATATTGGTTTTAGGGGTTTTTTTAAATCGGTATTTTCAGTTTTCTTTTTTGATAATGAAAATGAGTCAGAAGTACGGTTTTTTAAAACACAGCTATAATATTTGGATAAATTGTTACTATTCACCAGGGGCTGCATTTGGGGCAGTGAATGGTCTTCGGCTAGGATTGAAGGAAACCCAGAATATGGCCTGGTCCAAACCAAGAAATGTACAGTAAGTGTTGGGTAATCATCTTACATATAATGCTTGAATGTTAACCTCTGCTTTGTTAGTTTGATGGATATAACACTGAGGTTACAATGTTCAGAGACTTGATACTTGATATACTTTCCTTTTTTTCCTGTCTTACCTCAAATAGAAGGAATAAAAAATTATTACTCTTAGTTCTTAAAAGGACTAAATTTTTGAGTTCCTTGGTCACCTGGTGCTACCCCATCCTAACTTCTTAGCTACATGTATTCTGTTTTTCAGGCTGTGTGACATGCTTTTTAAATTGGTGAATTAAACTTAGGAGTCAATTCTAAAAAGATAAGGGTGTCTTTCCTCATGAACTTGAAGTCTACAGAGAAAGCAAAAGGCAATTAAATGGGTCAGAAAATGTGTATGTCTTCACTCTGAATAAGAAATAAACATGACCAGTCCTTGTTGATCTTTCTTTAGTAATATGTTTGTTGCTAAGATTTGCTCTTTTTTTTTTTTTTGGTACCGGGGATTGAACTCGGGTCTTTGCACTTGTGCAGCAGGCAGCGAAACCACTGAGCTAAATTCCCGGTCCAAGATTTGCTCTTTTTTATGAGAAAATATAATTGCTTTAATTTTATTTTTTTCAATTTTAATTTAACACATCTTAATTCCTTTTTTGTAAGAGGAGTTGTACAGTGTGTGTTCCTTTTTGATTCATGGTTTTGTTCTAGGACTCTTTGAACACGATCATCTGCGAATATTGTTCAGCCAGCAGATGGCAGCAGATGTGCTAAGGTTAGACCTTACGACACTTGAAAGCCTGTCGAGTTTTCCTGTTACTGTGTGGATCACTGTATTTGTATTACCAGCCCAGATCCTTCAATATTTTTGTGTAATGGTCAACATTTTCCTTCTTGCTCCAGTTGTTTTTATTTTTTTGTATTATAATTTTGATTCTATAGAAAAGTAGACATAGTATGAGCATCTGTAACATAACTCTTCCTTAACCATCAGCCATGTTTCATTTCATTTTCTCCCATGTTATTTTGAAACAAATCTCCAACATTATATTGGATATAAATTTGGAAAGTGTTCTAGGAAGGATAACTTGCTTCATTTCTTAAAACAGTAATACGTAATCATTGTGACCTTTCTAGATAGGGAGGCAGCATTTAGTAATGGAAAGAGGATAGTATTTATAGCCAGGAAGATATATGTGGCTTTAGAACCCCAGTTTCATGACTTACTGTTTTGTGATTTTTGAGTAAACTTTCTGTTCTCTGCCCTTAGAGTTGTTGAGAGAGGATAAAAATGAAAAGTAGGTAAGGGCTCTGTTCACCTGAATAGATTTCAAGGACCTCATTGTCAGTTGCAAAAGGTCCTTTGTAGATAACAAAAACATTTGCATTTCTAGGCAGGGGATGATTTAGCAGTGCTTAGTCAGAACCAGATGCTTTCATCACATACCATTTGTGTTAATCAGATTGCCTCCCAAAGAGTTTTACTGTTTTGGTCCTACCAGCGATACAGTGATGGAAATTGATAGTTTTAACGCTTGTTTCAGCTGAAAGAATGTGTGGAAATTCAGATTTATTACTAAACATGTAACATAATTAGGAACAAAATTCTTTTCTTTTCAAAAATCACTAATTTTTTGAAACATCATTTTATAAGTGCAGTGGACCCTTGACTTATGAACTTGATTTGTTCCCAAGGGCTGGTTGTAACTCAAGTTGGTCAGTGAAGGCTCAGGCTCCTCTACATGGCCTTCAAAGTCTTTCTCATATACAGGCAGATCTCAGTGTCCTTAGAGAGACCTTGGTCCAGGATTTCTCAATTAACCCCACACAGGAAAGTTGTTGTAATGTTCCT